CATAGTTCTCCACTATACTTTGATTTTTTTGTGTTTTGGTCTTTCTGTACTAACTTGTTTCTAGATTTTTCCTTCCTTACTTCCTCATTCTTCTCAGGCTCCAGGCAAGAGAAGAGGAATCATCTTCTGAGTCCTTTTAGTTCTGCTCATTTCCTGGAGGATTTGTGTCAGTGTAAGAGTCAAAGATAGTATTTTGGAAAGCCAGATATGATGGATCTCAGTTTTTGTTGTACCTTAAAACAGAGCATGGAGGGTGGAGTGAAAGTTGGTTGCATAGCTCTTTACTATTATATTAATATAGTCTCCAATTCCAGTGGAGATTATTCCATTCCACTCCAATTCCATTCTGATTATGTCTTTTGTGGGTTTTTTTTTTTGCCATACTGGTGGATTGGTAATAGAGTATGTTAATATATATGAGAAGACAAATATTGCAGTTTTGCTGGTAAATTTATTTGTGAGACACTCCTTCATCTCTTTTTGGCTTTGGAATTCTTGAAGTTACTGAACTTCTTTGTTACAGGCACCTATCTGAATGTGAGGTTTAAAGTTCATGGAATCTAATCTTTAGTTATGGTAGAGCAAAAGAAATTAATGGGCAGTAGGTCAAGACTTAATGAAAATAATACATTCTGAATTTTTAACAAAGAAGGTCTCATGTAAGCAGTGTTGAGCTTTCACAGTTATTTCTTGCTCCACATCAATTGATTGTACATTCAGTACAGTATGAAACAAGAAAAATGGCATTTTTTTTGTAATGTCCACTAGCTTTTATCTGAAGAGTTGATAGTGTCACCATCAGTCTCAGTGCCTGCTCATTTTCAATAACTTTGGTATATATCCAGTTTTATTTGCAAGTTCTGTTGGACTACTGTGAACTCTGCTCACGTAATTGATGAAAGTCAGCTAGAGAGTGTATCAAGCAGAGTAGTTAAAAACTGGGGCATTCAAAGTCAGTGAACTTGTTAAAATTAAAAAAGTAGGTTAAAGCTAACTGAATTTCAGTGTTGGATGGACCATTCCTTTGCTTCAGTTGCTTTAAACGTCACCAGCTGCTTTCTTTTTTAATAAGACTTACTTTAGTGTTTAATATTTTAAACACATTTTAGTGTTTAGTTTAGTTAATTCATAGTCTTAGTGAAAGAAGACCTAGCTTTTCAAAGATTGGATTGGTTTCTATTATGACAAGGCAGTTTGGGATTATTACCAATTAATTACCAATCCTGGTAACTGTTCCTTTTCAAGTTAATTCTTTTGTGAAGCATTTGCTGTTGGTTCCTTAATGTCTCAAAATCACATAGTGGTTGGCTGATTCTTGAGGGAAAATTTGAGTAGGAAGGGTCAGAACTGACAACATGGGAAGGAAGTAACTACTATGAAATAGGGGTTGTCTGATGGCTGGGGATTTTCTGAAGGTCCAGGTGCATGGTGCTTGTAGAAATGCTGTGTTGTACAGGAGTGTGGAAGCTAATAATACTTTGCTGAGGAATTTTGAATAATTTAGGTTCTGTGTGATGAGATAGTTCTGCTTCTAGCAGTCCATTATTCTTCCAGTTAGGTTGTCAGCTCAGCATCCTCACTACGGTAGTTTGTTATTAATGTGAAAGAGTTTCTTGCCTTAGTGGAGACTGAATATGTGTCCATCTCAGTTCCCATGAAACTTAAACGTGTGCCTCCAATTATTTAAAGTTTGTGTGTCCTGGCTCTTCCACACTTGGGCCCAATTCTCTTGATTTAAACTAAAAGAGGGGGTGGATATCTGGTAATTTGAAAAATAACATCAGAATGTTTTATGTAGGAAGCCTAAAAATGTTACCTGGTTCATGGAAGGTACAGCTAATCTTTTGTGTCTTGTGCAGATAATCACGTATGATCTGAGCTGCTTCCTAGATGCAAATTTAATTTTGTTTGTTCATCTCTTTCTTTCTAAGCTCACTGAAGAGGATGTGGAATATTCAAAAATAATGGTGAGTACAATTGGGAGGTTATTTAGGTTCTAAATGTAAGGTACTAAACCAAGTTTGTCAGCTGATTTAGTTCCCTTTTCCCTGACCAAAGAAATCTGTCATTGAGATTATAATTTTTTGTAGTGTGCTTTCAGAGAACTGGAATGTTGCCACAGTGTCAGATTTCAGCTTGGGCTTCACCTTAAAGGAACACTGATTTGACTATTATATATTCTAACAAGACTAAATGCCTTGAAAGTTATAAAATCCAGTCCTGTGATGTCGTTTGCTCTGCTAAGACAAACCGTATTAATTTGGAATAGTTATCTTAAAAGTGTTATTTGTTAAATGATAGGATTGGAAGGATGATAAAATAACCAAATGTAAATTATCAAATAGAAACAAGTACATTCAGAATTTCTAAGATTATAATAAACTTCTGTAGTTTTGATTTATTTTTTCCCAGTGAATGAAATAAAGATATGGTAGTTAAGGTGTGCAGCAAAGGGCTGTATTCTGTTCCCAGCTCTGTCACAAACTTTTGGCATGTTTTATTGCAGCTCTCCAGGTCTGTTTTTCCACATCTTCATAAGAATAAGACTTTCCCAACAGTCTGAGTGTCGATGGTCAACAATGATCAGCTGAAATATTTGAGTGACTCAAGAGAGATATCGATAGTGACATGTACTATATTTCCATTTTCACGGTCTACTCACTGCTTCTAATGTAGGAGCTTAAAATTGTCACTGGAAGACTATTTCTGGACTTGATCAATGGAATGGTTAAGAGGTAATTAAAATGAGAATACAGACAGGGAAAAGAGAAGAAGAGGTTAGTTGTTCTCATGTTCTTGTATATGAGAAAGAGAAAAAAAATGGGGGAAAAAATCTATTTTGGATCTCTTACTTTAGCACAAGAAAATGGTAATAAACATTCTGGCAATAGTGATGCAGGAGTGCACCCAGATACCTTCCAACTTAATGCAAAAATATCAGTCTTAACAGCTGCTGTAACTAGGTGGTACCAGGTGAGTATCACTGGTGGAAGGCCAGGAGATCTGAAAAGATGAGTTATTGAAATTTGTCTGTGCTGTGGATAAGTGGGGAGAAATGAGTAAAAATAAGAAGCTAAGGTATGTGATCTTAAAACCTGTTGTAAGTGCTCTTTTCCTCTCCAGCACTGACAGTTTCATAATTAGTTGGGTGGTAGTTTATGATGTCTCTTTGAGCTGTGACCTGCTAGAGCAGAGCACATACACTCTGTGCCATGTGCACTCTGCTGCTGCCTCGTCATTGTCATCTCTGTGTTGGAGACATGGCTGAAGCCCCACAGCTAATTAACAGTGGTGTATTTTTAGCTGCATTGCTTCTGAGTAAGTGTACAGTTCAGCATTTCTGAAGTGTTTCCTTAGCCAGCTTGTGGACATCTAAAGATAGATACAGAATCTTACAGACCAGGGGATTATTGCAGTTTGAGAAACCAGACGATTATATCCATTAGAGTCAGGCTTTTAAAGTAGTGAACTGGTGGGCATTTTAATGTTGAATGTATTTTATTCTGATTCCTAAACTACCTTTCCTGTGTTTTTAATTTGGAATTCCAGATCCTCTCCTAAGAAGGTGGTCCTCTTACTTGCTCAAAAGCTATGAAATGTGGATATTTCTCTTCTAGCAAGCAAAACCCATCCTTCATTTCCATGGAGCTGAATGAACAAAGATCTGTCCACTTCTGTTTGAATCATCTCACCAGACATTTGATTCACCAGATGACTTCCCCCACAGAAGTAGCCCACTGTTTTATCAAAACTCAGAAGCAGAGTAACAGAAGTCGGCATTTGTTTTCCTGAAAAAATGTCTTCTGTGCCAGCTCTTCATTCAGCTTTCTGCATTCCGTTTTAAAACGAAAAATACTTTGTAATGAGATGCAAGCAGAAGCTGGTGTTTTTCACTGGTATTTCCTTCTTAATTTTAGGAAGGTTAAGTACTTTGCTGTGTCAGATTGGAATTCCTAGCAGATAAAATGCATTGCTGTGTCAGACTGACCTGATATATATGAAAAGTTGCAGCAGGAAAACCAGAATGTTTTCTGCTCTGACATGAGGAAGAAACTTACCAAACAACTAGGGGCATCTCATACAGGTATTTTCTAGTCCAGGTCCCAGGCTTGACTTTGTAGATAGGTGTGAACTTACATAACGCAGCTAATGCACAAGAACAAATACAGAATCACCTTGTCCATACTATGTATCCCAGGCTGTGATCAAAATGTATATTTGCATGTGTGAACCTCTGTAAGTGCAGGATATGAAGAGCTTTCACCTGAAGAAGAAATTACTCTGCATAATTTCATTTTTAGCAAAGAAAAAAGAAGCTTTGAAGGCCTCTGGGGTAACAGGATAATGACTAGGCTTGCATTAAATCATTACCTTCCTCAGGCTTTTAATGAATCCTTAGCATCAAAAGGAGCAAGACCATTCTACAGTAGAAGAGAAGGGCAGAACATCTTTCTTTATATAGAAATTAACTTCTGATGGGATGGAAGAGACCAGAGCTGTAAAGTTGCAGTTTCTCTACCTGGCTTCCTCGACACAATTTCAGCTTTTCCTACTGCTGATGAAATCTCATTTTTTGATTCTTTCATGCCTGAGAGGACCTGTGTGTTTCCTCCATCTAGGTAGAAATAGGCCCAAGAAAATGGAATGTTAGCCACGTAAGAGGGATGAGTTGAGAGCAGAAATACCTAGTTCAGTCCTTTTTCTGGCTCTTCTTATTCCTTCCCAAACTAAGGCACAATCTGGTTGTTCTCATGTTTACACAAGATTCTTTGTCTATGTAATTTGTGATTATATAGGATTTTTTCTGTCGTTCTGGGATGGGAGCATATATTGTTTACATGCTCCCTACTATGGAATTATCTATAACAAGTAAGATTTTGGCAAAAAACTACCAGAACTGGGATATGTATTATATTCCACCTCAAATCTGAAACTCTTTTTAGTGCACCTTATTCCAAGCTTGTGATTTAAAAATGTGGCTTGCTAGCTTAAAGTATGTGAGATACTAAAATGGTTGGGGAAGTGTTCTAGATTTCTTGTTCTGTTTTTCCTTTTAGAAAACTGCTGGAGAGAGCCAGACAGCCTGAAAATGGCTGAAAAAGCAAACAATTGAAATCCTTCTTAAATCTTGGTGATTGATTGCCAGGGCAGCATTCTAGTATGAAAAATGTGGTGACATTTTATGGGACCAAGTTCCATAGCAGAGTGAGGACAAGTGTTGATGTTGATCCTAATTGTCCAAGTCATGTCTGTGTTTAGACTTGTTTTGTAACAATAGGATTTAATGACAGCTTTACCCATTTTGTGTTTCCATGAAGCAAAGAACAGACACTGCCTATCAAAATAATGCCAACTTCAATGAGCAGAGAGGTGCTCTAAAATTGTGTGTAACATTGTGGTGAGCTGTGTGATAAGAGTTAACATTGAGCTTGATGAGGCAACCACCAGCTTGGCCTGACTTTGCTGAATATGGTCTGAGCTTTCTGGCATTGGAGGCAACTAGAAAAGCACACTTTATTTTAGGGCCTCCTTATGTTGAAGTCAATAGGATTTAATGGAGATGTCTGTAGAAGCAGGATCCATCTCTAAGTGATGGAAAATACTGTCAATATCATAGGATTACAGTGGTTGGGAAGTATGTGGTATAAGAAATGCCTGATTTTAGATCTGGGAATTTTCTTCTGCCCATACTTACCCATCTGATGTTAGAGATAGCAGTTGTTTCTTGCACAGCTTGATGACAAAATACTTGGGGGCAGGAAGGTATTTTTGTTTTCTGTGGACATGTACAAAAATTGCAAATTTGCCTGACTAGAGAGTTGATAATCTAAGCTCCTTAAACTCAATATTTTGTAACCTGGCATTGTAACAAAAAAAGTAGAATTACTGATTTTTTTCCTAACTCCTGTTCATGGCAGTGTAGCAGCATTAGTTTTTGAGTTTAATTTTAGAACATCAGGATTTTATTAGATTAAGGATCTGATCTGTGGCTTTCACAGAAATAATATTCCAATAGTGCATGCCCAGAAGACCCCCTTTTGCTGTACCTTCCTGGCCAGCACCTTTAAAGAGCTGCTGTGTTTGGAAATGCTGCTTCATCTGACTCACTCTTCCTTGCTCCGCTTTTTCTTTGTGTTGGTTGGAAATCTTCCCATGTGAAAGATTACAAAAACAAGGGGCATGTGCAATAGCTCATATATATATATATACATATATATATTTTAATACTTGTGGACAAAATGATGTTACAAGTTGTTTGAAAACAACAAAATCACCAATGTCTTCCATTTTGAGATGTGTATAGTTCCATAAGCATTAGTGCTTTGTAGCAAACTGTAGTGCCATGTTAGGACCAGTGCATGAGCCTAGTAGTATTTTTACAATTTCTGAGTGACAAATTTATTAGTAAACAGTGATGATAATGTAATTAACACTAGAAAGGATACAATAGGAATGTCACAAACATGGTCTAAACATGCAGTATCCTCCCTTTGACAATGGCAATGCTATCCTTAGAAATGGAACTCATTCACTTAATGGGCTTCATAGAATCATAGTTGACTTTTTGATATTTGTCTGTCTGTCCAACTGCAGTAGTAAGCTAGAGTATGCAAGTATCCATAATTCTCCTCCCTATCGGTGTGATTCTTTTCTTTTAAATATTTGTTGGTGTTTTCTTCCATTTTCAATTTTATTGAACCATCTATTACTCATCCTGTGATATACTCACAAAAGTATGAATATGCTAAGGAGTTTGTGTGCATTCTGTACACATCTCTTATCTTCAGATAATTTACAAAGTCTGTTAAGTAATCTTGTCTTTTTTTCACATCTGACTTTATGATTATTATAGCTAGCAAAACATTATCCTCATTGTGTGGTAAGTTAATAGTTGCAAAATGTGATATGCTAATTATGCATAGAAGACTTTCCTCCATTACTGCAGGAATGGGGAACCTTTTTTGGCTGAAATCCTATTGAATCTTAAAATAACTTTGGTGGATCCTGCATTTACATACATCTTAATAAGAGAGAATACGTTAAGGTCAGAGGCCGTTGGAAAACGATGTTGCAGGCTGTGTCTGTGCAGCAGGCTGTCTCCAGCCAATGGATCAGAGATTCCCCACCCCTGTATTATTGAGAATTCAGTATCTTGTGTTTTAGGTAACTTCCAGTTTTGCTTTCCAGCTCTAAGCTCAGTTTTAATGATTTCTGTCTCTCCCTCTGCTTTTTTCAGAAGGAAAGTTTAGACCAGGGAAGTGAAATTGATTTAGCACTCAATGGACAGCTTGGACTGGTCAAATAGGAGACTGGTATGATTCTGAGATGTGCATTGCTCTGTGGATGGCATCCTCTGATTTCCTAGGAATAAGTCTTTTATTTGATGCCAGTGCTGCTCTTCACCCATTTCTCTCTTTCAGCTTAGAGAGGATACTGCATCTTTTTTTCCTGAGACCTGCCTGTAAATGGCCATTAGGGGGAGGGAGGGAATGGGTAGCTTGGTTTTGTAATTTTGGTACGATATATCTTTAAAGTAATTAATCAAGAAGCATGTACTTCCGTGCAATGACAGTAATCCAGGCAGAGTTAATGTATGTAACAGGGAAAAAAAAACCCCAACAAAACCAACCAAACGACCCTCTGCATCTAATGAATTTCTGAGAAAATTGGACAGGTGGGCCATTTACAGCAGAGCTCTGGGGGACCTGTGCTAAGAGTCAGGTTCAATTCTAAATGGACATAGCTGTACCATTGAATAAAGTAGTTTAGTGCTTGGGAGAATCAATTGAAAAATACCTCTGAAACTGGAATGCAAAATAGCACAGTATGTAGGGGGAAGAATCCCTGATGCAAACAAAGCCATAAGATGATTTAATAAGAAAATAGAACTTTAGTAGCAATAACTGTTTTGCATGTGATAGTAAATAACTTGCATTAGCAAGACTGTACAGTAGAGTAAGTGGGTAATAACCAAATAAGTTTGTGGCGCTCTGTGCTGCAGGGAGTTGTGTGAAGAGTCTTCCTGAGAAGAAGGGTGAATTCTTCTTATGTTCCTCTCATTGGAGGGAATTTGGCACTTGAATACTAAGTTAATGAACTTGATACATATATTAAAAAAAGAAAAGAAAAATTAGCTTTGCCACATGTCTGAAGCACTGTCAGTGAGTGCTGGGGGGAGGGCAGACAGTTCTCTTTGAAAGGATAGCTGAAGTTTTTCTTTCTCTGTAGCCTAGCACTTGCTCTATTTCTCTGAGAAACTAAACTTTTCCAAATACTGTACTGTGAAGAGAACCTGATTCTAAAGTGAGAAGTTCTTTGTGATGGGAAGTGATTTTTGTTTTCTTCCATTATAAAGACCAATCTGAGGTAGTCTTTAAATAAAAAACCCCAAAACATTAGAGAGCGCTTGACCCTCAAAACATTTGTGCATGCCAAGCACAACTGTAGAATCTAAAGATGCCACAGCAGAAAATAATTTCAGCTTTGCTAAACACTGTTGCAGACCATAATTGATTTCAGTTGATGCCTGAAGTTTTGCAGGAGAAAGTACTGTGAAGCCTCTGGTAACACAGAGGGTTATTGATTTTCACCTGTAGATCTGCATCCAGAAAATTATTTGCTATGAAAGGGTTGCATAAAAGAGCCACAGGAGTTCTAAACTGTTCCTAGTTGGCACTTTTCAGTGTAGGTACCTCATCAAAGACACAGTGAGCCCCAACATATAGTAGTGTATTCTGAACATAATCAGAGGTTTAGATCAGTCTGGCTGCATTTCTTCTGGAAAGCTGAAGTAATTTAGACTGTAAGCTTCCAGCTTAATGGAGGCTTCTTGCCTCCATTAAAGCGTGGGGGTGAAGCACTTTGGCTCTTCATAAATAGATAGTGGAACTGTGAGGGCTATGAGCATTTTTGCAGTATAAAGTAACAGGATAAGCATGAGACTGTCTAAATTAAGTGTTGGCTAACATGTAATATGCTTATGAAAACTAATTGATCTGAAAGATTATAATCAGCTTAAATTCCAGCTATTGATTTTTTGATAAAATTGGAAGCTCGCCATAGGGGACCTTCATTTGATTGCTCTCTGATTAGAGAAATTATGAAATTATGTGGTCTGTGATTGACAAATACATTTACATAATAATGAAATTGTAATGAAAACAAAGTCACATTCATGCTTCAGAAGTATCACCTTTGTGGCTGAACAGAATTCTTCAAGGGTATATCCACTCAGAACAGAGGGGAGGAAATAAAAGACTCACATAGCCAGGCAAGCTATCTGCATATACTTCCCAGTTCAGGCTTTTAATAAGGATCTGAATTCTGTGGGCTGCTAGACTAGGAATTACTATTCACAGCAACAAAAGGAATCCCTTTGCCTTTCAGCTCTTGTACTGTGACATGACTTTTGCTTCAACCTCCTTGATTTAACAGCTTCTAAACTGAAGTGGAAGTGTCAGGTGCTGCCACTCTTGGGTGTGCTATATCAAAAGGTGTAATGACCAGTATGGACATACCTCCTAAGCAGTACTAAACCCAGATGATACAAATATGTTCTCTTTGTATATCCAGTAGTGCTGCTGCAGAAGGTCTAGCCACTACTTGTGTTGGGAAATGTACCTTCTGAAACTGAGGGTATTTGTCAAATTTATGAGAAGAAAGAAAGTCTTGCAAAGACTTCTTGATAGTAAGTGGGAACAAATTGTACTGAGCTTGAGGATACTGACACTTTACATGAGGATTACATTGTCAAGAACTGGCAGTCTGGCTTTTTGGGGGGCAGAAAAGGAAAAAATACTGAAGATAGAACTATTTTTGGTGTATAACAAATCTTAGAAATCACTGCTTATTGTACCCTTAGGAAACTGGCTGGTCTTCCTCCAAAACTAATAATCCTGCTTGCTGATCAGGTACAGAGCTGCAAAATGACAATTCAAGTTAGATTCCACTGGATTTCTTTCATGGAATGATCCAGCATTTTGTCCCTGTAGCACTTTGACTGGCACACAAAAGCCAACAGTTGAATCAGGGTGTCTTGTTCAACAGTGCACAGCACTAACCATGGATTCTGATGTCTGTTCCCTTTCAATCTCTACACTTCCTCCTGCATTTTAGAGAAAGTGTCAGTGTTCGTGATGTCAGCAGAGCATGTTTCTGTCTCTGAGCCTGTGTACCGGGTTATAATATAGACAAACTCCCAAGACTTTTACCCCATCTAAAGTTAAAGGTAGAAGGTACCTTTCTGTTCAGTGTGTCCTATGTAAATCCTGTCTGCTTCTCTCCACTTCCCCTCCAAATGAGTGTGTTTGCAGGTCAAATAAAAGGCAGGTAGTTTGCAATGCCTTTGGCATGAAGAACTGCATGGAGAAACTGAAGGAAAGCGGCACAGGCCCACAAACCAAATCTTAGAGCTAGTATTCTAATTATGCATGATTCAAAATGTCTAGTGTAATGTAGTTATTACCAGTAAATTGAGATATGCATTTATACATAATGAAGCAATAGGAATTAATATACCAATAGCTTGAACTTCCTGCTTTGATTCTCAAATTTTGGGTTTTTTTAGAGAATGTGCTGCCTCTGTAGAGAAGGGGGCAGAATGTATAGATAGGGACAGAAGCATGGCACCAAAACTGTAAATCAGGAACTGGGGTCAGCAGAACTCGCCTTTATAACCTCTAGTCTGGTTCATATCACTGTCCTGAGCATGTAAAAAGCAGGGCATGAACTAAGCATGTTTAGAGGCGAGATGAGGTTTCTCACCTGCTGCAGCTGTAGCAAGGAAAAGGGTGCAGAGTTTCTTACATGGTGCAGGGGAGCGACTGGTGGGAAGGAAAAAAACCAAACCCACAAAAAAATCACCCCAAAACCCAAGCTGACAAATGAGTAACAGAAACCACAGACTCAAATTGAGTGTAGTATTTGCCAGACAGTAGGTAATAAACTTGAGTGTGGTGAGAGAAATTATTTGGAGAATACTGAAATTAATAAGCACAGTACATATTTTTCAGGTGTTGAATAGCTTTTTAAGAGACAGTATTTTCAGGTAACTCTAGCCACATAGGCAGCTGTACTGAAGCATACTGGTACTAGCCAGCAATAATGGCATCTGCAGGAATGAACCTGAAAATACTGGTAATCTTGTATATTTTTTAAGTTCTTTAAAGAGATTTTTAAAAACAGAAAATGAGATTTAATCACTGAAGGTCTTTATCTGCTGCAACAGAGGTTGCAATTGTCTTTTTTTCTTTATTTCACTTACTAGATAAAAGGGAATTTGGGTGCCATCTTTCTGTAAACTCTTGGTGCGTTCTCTGTAATTCAAGTCTTAGTGGATAATGCAGTCAATTTCTGCCAGCAGTTTGAAAGTAAGAGAATGTGTGGCATAGCCTACATCACCAATACTTTTCCAAGTTTAAACCTGTAATTAAACATACAGAATACTGGCTTGTAATTGCAGAATTCCATACTTGTAGCTTAGCTTAATTTTGTAAGTGGGCTTAACTTGTGCAGAACACTTCTCCATGTACAGAGGCTCAGTCCTCTCTCTTAAGCAGAAAGTGTCTTGGAAGAAAAGGTGTGTCAAGTTAACTCCTGTTCATACTTCATAGCCAACCATTCATAAAGCACTGTGTTTTGGGTTTAGAATGGGAATTGTGGTTTTACCCATGAATGCTCTTTTTAAATATGTAAGGATTGCCAAATGGAGATATGAATATTATAAGAGAAGGTAACTATTCCATGGTATCACAAGTAGGACTGAATGAAAGTCTTTGAGCCAACTTCTTCAAGAAACAAGAAAATTTCTAAGGCAAAGTTCGCCCAGTGGTTAACCATGGTCATTTTTAATTCTTTAGAACACTATGCATGGTTTTAAAGTCTGTTAAATATTGTAATGAGTAAGCCATTGTATCCTTTGTATTTCCCTTCAGTATAACTTGGGGAATAAGCTACTTCAGGATATCAGTGATTTTCCTTTTGATTTGAAAAATATAACAGCAAAGGAAAAGTATTAGGTATAAATTCCTAAAAATTACCTTAGTACTTAATAGGCTAAAGAATACTTATACTGAACTTCTGATAGCATTCTTGCATGGATTAGTGGAGGGAATTATTGGTGTGACTACAAACTATGTACTCCCATTGCACACGTTTTACATGGTAACAGTGAAAGAATGTCTCCCTGCAAATTCTGATTTTCTCCAAAAGGCAGCTTGCTTTTATATCTATGCATCTTTGAGGATTTCAAGATAAGATTTTATTATTTTGACACTGTAAAGAGGAACTGTTTAAAAATGAACCTGGAAACTCTGCACCTGTATACAAACTTTTTTAGCAATAAAGCAGCACAGGCTGAGAATGCACTAAAACTGGATGCGTCATCTGTTCAGAAGACAAATTAACCAAATTACTGTACATTCCACTCCACTTCTGAGGTCTACTTGCTGTAGCTTTGTCAAAACTTAACAACTCGAGCTTTCTCTCCTTTATGCTGGATATCTGCTTTGGGGGCAGCAGACTTCAGGCACAAGAGCTTCTGACTTAAACAGCAGCTAAACAAAAATTGTTATTCCACTCATTCTAAGATGCATAACTTCAATCTCTTCAAGGGGTGTTTCAGAGAGTAGCAGAAACTCTCTGCTTCTTGTATTGATTGCCTAAAAGTAATGAGACCCCTCAGAAGATTGTTTTATGGACGTATTGTTTATTGTTTTGGTGACTGTGCTTCCAAAAAGTTTCTTCTGTGGTTGGTGGAGGTCCTCCCAATTTCAAAGATTACAGAAATTCAGTTTAAAAATTTACCAGCTATTCTTCAGCACATACTCATTATATATTTAAATCCATGCTATGTAATATAATTTGTGGAACCAATACTTTAATGCTTCATAACAAATGAGGACCCAAGCAAGATAAAGTGATTTTTTTTCCTGCAAAATAATCAAAGGAAAAAAAGTAGGCCTAGGACTCACATAACAATGGCAGTGATTTGGACCATATGAATTTCTGAGTTTCAGCTTTTATTTAAGAAGTTCTTTCTTCACAACTTTAAATATAATACAAAAATGTAACTGACAGCTTTTTTTTCTTTTAGGGATCAGTACTAAGGAAGCAAAACAATTTAGCATTATTCATAATACAGACATAAAATAGCAAGAAACAGTCTCAATGCAGAAACTAGAATGAAAGGGCAAAAGCAAACAGTCCCATCATCAATCACATTTCTTAGACTCATGCAACAACACAAGCACTAAGGAAGTACTACAAAGGTAGTATTAGAATTTGTGAGAGTCCCCCCTCTCCTTGCAGAACAACTGTTGATACTCTATTGTTTTGCTTATGACTGAGACCATAAAAACTGCCAAACAGACAGCAGCACAGTGAACATTAGTAGTAGCCTAAGTACCAGTTGCCCACCTAAAACCTCTGAGGTGCCTTACCTCAGTGAATTTTGTCCCCTGTGCTCCAAGCAGAGTTATTTTACAAATAAGACAAAACACAGAACTGGCAGCAGCAGCAATGAGATCTGCAACCTGCTGGTCATATACACGGAAGGAGAAAGCAATTTGCATCACTGGAATTAAGCTGATCAAGTAAACAGAATCCTCTCCAGACTACTACAGAAAACTACTAACTTTCCATAAATTCATTATCCCTTTGAGAACAAACATTAGCCCTTTAGGCAGCATAGGGGAGATGAAAAGGGACCTTAATCTTCCAAAACCAAGAATTAGGGATATTCTGTCCCAGTAACAAAGGGTAAGTAGTGCTTTCTTTTCTGTAAAATTATTTTCTAAATATGTGGAAATAAGCAGAACCAATTTTCAGTAGAGAGCGATGCCAATGGGCCATGAGTAGGTATTTTTTATGAAACATCCTAACTGGCCAGGCAATCATAACTTCAGGAAAGCAGTGCTTCCATGATTGTGCAGAAGACTGTTCCTTGGTTTCCTAGTTAACATTCCAGAAAGAAACGCTCAGTTGCTCACAGCCTTAGCTGGCAAAATTTGACTCAGTCCTGTTCCTGGGGCTGCACTTCAGCAGACTTGGAAGGCACTGGGGTTGCCCTTTACCTGAAATTCAAAACCTTGTGCTCTGCCTCCATGGTGCCATCCAGACTCATGCTCTAAGAACACTGCAGCATCTGTGATGTGCTCGTCTGCTGCTTTTGCAAGCAATGCATACAAGCAAATCTCAGAACTATTCAGGAGTCCATTTAGCAGTGGCTCACATATCCATCAGATGTAGCTAATGTAGCTGACCCAAATGTAGCTGCCATTAAAACCAAGACTGCCATTAACAATGTGTCTGTATGAAAAGGTAGGACAGGAGCTTTAGGTTTTTAAGAATGTTCAGTTTGTAATGGTGGCTCTTGAATAGTATCACCTTGTTAAGTATGTTTTACATAGCTCCAGAAACCTGACTTTATTATTTCAAAGGCTGGTTTTCCCCTTGAAGTCATTAGAAAAACCAAAGTTATATTTACAGAGCTTCAGAGAGTAACATGCTGCATGGGTGAGCTATTCAGTCTTCCAAGCATAACTTCAGTATGTCAGATTCTCCTCCTGAAGGGAGGCACTTCATCATCAGTTCTTTCCACACACAGATGAAGCGACAGATCAATACTCACACCTGGTCTGGTGCATTATTTCTTCGTAATGACCAAACTCAGCAGAGATGCAGAAACAGCTCCAGCAGTTCTTGAAAATGGGTATTAGTTGGCATTAACTCTTGCATATCTTGATAGTAAATTATCAGTAAGGATCTGTTGAAGAGTTTTGCCATTCTTTTGTTACATAATTATTTTATCCAGCTTCCTTGTCAATAATTCGACACGACCACTTAACTCCACAAGCTTTTCTTTCATCTAGGAAAAGAGTATAAAAATTAGCAAAAAAAGTCCTAACACTGGATCTTTGAATGACCTGTGTTTAAGACCATTAAGTGACTAAGTGGCTAAAGAGCAGCTCACTTTCAAGATGTGAAAATATAGAGGGGCTTGATCTCTATACTGCATGTTTAGTACTGGCAAAAACAGCACCCAGATCAGGGGGCTCACTAAAATCTGGAGATGGATCAATGTGTACCAGTATCAGCCCTTCCAGGGACATCATGCAAGATGGAGATGGAGTTGCTGTAGTTTTTCTGTGATGAACCTGAACTTTCCTAGTTAAGACAAGTTCTCACACAGCCAGGGACCTGCTCTGACAATATGTGGACAAACTGTTTCATCATTAGCTTAGGAATACCTGTGGACATTATGTCTCAAAAAGCACAGGCCATGCTTGAGCTTGTTCTAGTCAACAAACAAACTCTCTACAGTCACATAATTTGTGTTTGCAATGAAGTGCTGTCGTATTTTTACTTCAATCATGTATTATTACTAAATCATGTCTTGACTTCAGAAGTTTTATCTAGATAAGATTTTTGTATTTTAGCCTCACTGGACCTGTAAAAACACTCTGATCTTATAGAAACAGGAAAGATGACTTGAAAGAAAACTGAACTTAAGAAATATAAAAGGCCTGTTACAAGAGAAACTAAAACCTAAACTCAACCCCCCAAAAAAGCAATGAAAAAATTATCACATAAATACTGGATATGCTGGCTGTCTCCTACACACAATAACTTCATTTGAGCTAAGGCACAGGCAATTAACTAACATAACTAGTCAGGTTAAAGATAAGAACATCCAATTGGAACACCAAAACAGGAGGGAGGTCCTGGAGTTCTCTCTGAAACTACAGTTACTACCTGCTGTTTTGAACTTACACAGACATAAAAATATAAGTTTAAAAATCCCTTTCAAATAAAAAAGAGTCTATTTTTAAATTCTTCAACAATGACAACACAAGTCATAATACTTAGGCCAAGTCTGTAGAAATGAGTTTAGGGGTTTTTTTTCTCTGCAAGGTATAGAGAAAAAGGATAACAAACTTGCCACAATTTAGCTAGAACTGGGTATGTTCTGCAGTTTAGAGGTCTTAGAAAATGTTTCATGTCTCATGAATTGAGTCAGTTATTGTCAAATAAGGCAGCATTTTCTCAATCTTAGGCACTAAAAAACCCCACATTTGTGTCAATGTTTTTGAATTAATGTCCAAAATTATCAGCATTTTAAAAGTATTTTTCATTATTGTGGAAACCTTACTTTCTGCATGTTTTCCTTTAAGGTCACAGCTGGAAAATTAATCTTAGAAGCTTCTATAATCGTTTGATTTTTTAAGAGGTAACTGGAAAACAAAAGGGGAAAGAAAAAAAAAAACACAAGAAAAACAGTTAAAAAACCTATAGTTGCACTGTTTAGACAGATGATTTAAGATGATTTTAAAGCAGATACAAGGTTGTTGCCAAAAGTCATAATTATGAAAATATTCAAAACATAACAGTGGTTTTACTTTGGAATCAAGATCCTCTCATCACCTGCTATAAGTAATTTATAGCTGCTATAGTCAAGCCCTCAACCTATCATGGAATCACTCTGATACCTTACATTAGCCAAATGAATCTGGAACTGAAGAGATTTCAGCATTGCACACAACTAAATATGAAGTCTCACATTACACAAGGACACTCAAGAGGTGCAAGGCAAATCAAAGGGATTCACATCAACACAATGTACAAATCAGGTATATTAAAATCCCACACCAATGTGCTCAGACAGAAGTCAAACCGCTTTTGTTAGCTGTGGGCTGGTTGTACAGTAACTTACAAGCACCTGTGAAGTCACTGACCATAAGAATGCAGGGCACTCACCACATGATGCTGTCCTTGAAGAAACAGAACAAGTCCCGGAGGTGCGCCAGGTCACTGCCAGAAGAGTAAAGAATGAAGCCCACAGCCAAGCCACAGGACCGACACAATAATAAATAATAAGCACTAAAAGGAGAAAGGGAAGTGTTTTAAAACAAGCTTTTGAAACCACAGATCCTGTATCTTTGTCAGAGGGCATCAGATCTTCAATTCCATTGGGCAAAATCCAAGGCATAATAACACCTCCTCCTCAAAAAAGTAATATGTACAAGAACAACATGACCATAAGAAATTGGGCATGTTGTAAAAGAAGTGATCTCTCTAATAAGTGAAGTAGCTATTAAGGAAGAAAATGCACATCTTATTATCACAGAGTGGATTAGCGTATTCTACTCAAACGTGATTTAAGTAATAAAACAATGCATGTGCCAGCTGTAAATTCTTTCTAATAAAATATATTATAACCCCATGCAGAGAGAGGGGCAAGGAAAAAAAGTAAAAAAAAGAGCAAGTCTTACATTGAAAAAGTTCCTAGTCCTGACAGTTTGTAAAAGAGCCTTTAAAAATTATTTAAACAAGCTACTGGTTCTGTAAGCCCCTAGATGACATTTTACATTCTTCCTGTTAGACTGAGTTACCAAACCCTGCAAACGGTAAGTTCCTCAATAGGGCAGCACAAGTTTTTTATTTTCAGTATTAAAAAAACCCAACCACCTAATAGCTACCCCTCCCCCCAAAACCAAACCAAACCATCCAAAAACCCACCAAACCAAACAAAACCCTGATATGTTTTAAGTGAGAGACGTTTTAGGGAAGGGAAGAAAGGAACCTACAAGTTAAGCTGTCTTCTATCTACTGCATTGCTCGAAATGTTTCTGTCACCTACAGAGGTTATAGCGGCAAAACTCTTTGATTTCAAGTGAAAACTACATCCCTACAAAAGGTATCCGAAGTGTGAGGCAGGCACGGAGGTCACCTGGGAGCTCGCCCAGCCCCTCCGAACCGCGGCGCACAGGCCGGAGGAGCCGGGGCCCGGCCTTGCCCGCACCATTTACCGCGGCGGCACCTACGCACCATCCCAGCAGGGCGCCCTCGAGGCCGATCAGCAGCGAGTCCTCCCAGGTCACATCGCTGGTGACTCCTGAGGAGAAAGAGACGCGCTGCAGCCGAGAGCCCCGGCCCGAGCCCCGCGCGGGGCAGCGCCCGCCGGCCCGAGCGGCACTCACTGAAGCAGACGAGGACGCTGAGCTCCGGCGGCTCCCGCCCGCACAGCTGCAGCGAGTCTCCCAGCACCGTCCAGCAGCTCCGGCAGTGGAACACGGCGCACTCCTCCGGCAGCGGCCCCTGCCGCCGCGGCGGCGATGCCGGCTCCGCGGCCGGCGGCAAGGAAGAGGACGGCGGGGGCGACGACGGCGGGGGCGACGGTGGGGACGACGGCGGGGGCGACGGCGGGGGCGACGGCGGGGGCGGCGGCGGCACGGACAGCGAGGCCCAGGCGGCAGCGGCGGGGGCAGGCGCCCGCTCCAGCACAATGGCCCCGACGGGCTGCGGCTCCTGGAACAACTTCTGCAGCCGCTGCCGCAGCGCCATCACCTCCCGCCAAGCGTTCGGGCGCGGGGCCCGCCCCCCGCGTATCGCCATTGGACCGCGGCCCGGATGTCCGCATTACCATTGGCCAGCGGCCGCGCCCATCCTCGCCGCCCGCGGCTATTGGCCAGCGGGCGCACCGCGCGCGCCTTTCTCCTCCGGGAACGCCTCATCGCGCTTGAAAATAAGCACGCGCGGCGGGCCGCGCCGCCATTGGCGGCTCCCGCGCTCCGCCCCTCTAGGCCACGCCCCTTCTGCGGCCCAGCCAATGGGCTGGCGCAGCGGGCCAGTTCGAATGGCGGGGGCGGCGCGAGCGGTGTCTGTTGGCGCGCGGGCAGGCCGGCCGCTCTGAGGTGCTGTCATGGCGCTCGCTTCGCTGCAGCCCCTGGAGGCGCTGAAATACGCCGAGCTCCAGCGCATCGCCAAGGCCGCCGGGCTGCGGGCAAACCTGCGGGTGAGGCAGCTGCGCGGGGGCAACGCCCACCGTGCTCCGGGCTCTGGGCTACCCCCGTGCCCGGTGGCGAGAGCGCGTTCCCAGCCTCCCGGGTCTGGAGCGGCGCCGGCAGCGGCACCGCCCGCGGGGGCGGCCGTGGCTTCGCGCTGGGGCGCCCCGGGGGCTGCGCTGCCGTCCGGGGCGCGGGCAAGCACTCGGGGAGTGGGACAGCGGGGCTCCGGTGTCCCCCGGGTGTTGAGAAGGGGCGGCTGCCCCCTCCTCCGCCGGCCCGGCCGTTCCCCCAGGCCGCTGTCCGGGCAGCTGCGTGTGTGTGTGTGTGTGCGTGTTTGGCTCGGCTTGTTTTCCTGACGGCTCGGAGTGGGAGGAGCAGTGACAAGGGAGTACCGGGATGGGGGACGGAGGGCGCGTTCGGCGGTCCGGGTAAGGTCCTGCCGGAGCTGCGGGTGCGTGTGAGGCACGGCCGGGCTCCTCCGGCAGCCGTGGCTGGAGCCGTAAAGCCTGGAAAGAAACATCTAGGGTGGACAAGGCAGCTCCTTGTCCTCACAGGACTGAGGCTTTTTCTGGCAATGTTAGTTTTGGGGTGCTTTGGTTGTTTTTCTGCTGACCTTTCCACTTAGGTGTTCAAGAGTCTTTCGTAGCCTGAATTATCAATGGTGTGTTTTCATCGTTGTTTTATTACTATTACTGCTGAATGTATGCGAGGGATGAAAAGAATGCTTTGCGTGTAGCATGGGTAAGACAGAAGCAATTGGAGAAACTTGACACGATTTTAATTCAGGTTCAGCTGTGGGGCTTAAAACAGTTTGTCTCCTTCCTTGAAGAATTAACAGCCTCCTGGAAAATAGAGCAGGAGAAACCTAGTCAGGGAAATTTACCTTTGTGCCTCCGTGGAGAATATGCTGCAGGTTCATGTGTGGCCTTAGGCACTGCCTGGAGCGAGTCCCAGGCGTGCCTCACGCTGTTGCATTCAGGGAATGTCCTGCTCCTTTGCTGGCTCTGTTCACAGCGTGCGGGGTGGGCTGGGCAGCTCCTCGGTGCCTTCGTGGGCTCTTTGGTTCACGTGTTGTTTTCATTTCTCTTCAGGCAGACAAATTGTTGGAATCATTGAAGCAACACTTTGAAAGGACAAATGGAGAAAGTGAAAATATGGTAACATATATAAATAATAATAAGACGTTGTTTTAAAGAAATGCAAACCTTAGTTTGTAACCCATAGAGCAGGGCATGTGCTGAAGGGTGATTTTGACCACAATGGGAACTGTAACAGAAATACCTTTTTCTTCTAAGTGCCCTTCGTTTAAAGTACTTATGTACTGATAGAAATAGATATGCTAATGTTAGTTTTGAGGCAGCTGATTTCCTTTCAGCTGCCAAAATTAACAATGTATTTTTCAGCATCAGTATGAACCTATTCTCTGTGAACAATAACATTTAATTTCCACTGAATAAACCTTAATTCTTCCTTGTTTGGCTCCAGACACTATTCAGTACCAAATATAAAAACATTTTATTAATCTTGCATGCCTAAATGAAGGGGACTAGGTACTAATTGGAAAGCATTTTGCATCTACTAAAATTTACTTCTGCTTATAATGAAGGCAATACTGAATCCTTTACAGTTGTGCTGCTTCCTTTATTTCCTCTTGGTGTTTTGTTTTCTTAAGTTTTTAAAAAGTTTTCTGTAAGCAGAATATTTTGTTGAGTGTAGCAATGTTTTTGATTAAAGTAATTTGTTATCTCCTTTTTCTAAAATACATCTCCCTTTAAGTGCATCCCTTAAAAATCTTCTTTAAAAGCTTGAGGAACTGGTATAAACCTTGTCAGCTTTTAAAAAATTTCCACAAGCAGTAAAGGAGCTCTGTTTTTACTGGTTAAAAGTATTCCACAAATGTACAAATATGGGAGGGTCATGGCATCATGCAAGTTAAATTTCAAATATAAGGCTTTTATAATGTTATTAAAACAAAATATGATAAACCAATCATAGGAATTCTATTTAAAGTCTCCAAACAATGAGCTTTGATGCTTAGGGGAATCTAGATAGTGTCAGTTTCTTGATTACTGTGCTGCTATGTGGCATGCTACTGTTTATCCTCAGTGTAAAATACTTTTTTAAATAATAAAATTGAAACTGGTCTGGAGTATTTAATTCATATTTGTGTCAGATAACTTCCAGTTACAGTGTTTTTCTGCTGCAGGGTTCTGTAAAGAGTGCATCTGCTCCTATTAAATCAGATGAACTGAGCATTCAGGAGGAAATTTTGTCTGATTCAGTGTGTTTCATTACAAAAAGAGGTGGTAAGGATAAGAAAATAACCAGAAAAAAGAGGAACTCCTGTGAGGAAAGAAATAGCAGTGAAGAAAACCCAGTGCTTTCTGATGAGAAACAGGTGATTTGCTTTGCATGCTTTTGTGTTCTGTCCTCCCTCTGAGCATAATTTAAGCACACTTGATTTCTTTTCAATCACCATTTATAGATGGGGTGTGTTTGTGTGTATATAGACATGTAAGAAATTGATATTCAGGCATTCTGGTACTGGTCTTTTGTATTTTGTAGCACTGACTTTTGTGCATTTATGCACTGTCCCATAATAAACAGACATTACTTCTAAGTCACTGCTTCAAGAAAATAAATCCTTTAAGAAATAGACAATTCCAAACACTTTATCTGAGTGTAATGCTGCTTTCACTAGTTCATTGTAGCATTTTGACTCTTAGGCTAGTTTCAGAATTTATCTAAAATAAGGCTGTTCTCACTGTTTTGATACAGAAAAAATATCAGAAGTTGCACGACTGCCTAAACCTCATATCTTTTTTATTGTGGGAGTTGTGTGAATTAGGGAGTGAAAGTTACAAGGTGAGATGGAGGTTGACTTTTTTTTGAGTTACAAGGAGTAGGTAAATTAAGAACTGTCTGAAAGACTTTTACTGAGGTAGAGGAGAGAAATGAGGAGTGCTAGTCTTTTAGTGTTAGAGAATTGTACAGTATGCAAAAATACAACAGTAAAAAGTAACATCCCCTGTGAATTTAATCTTACTTGCAAATAATTGACTTTAATTCATAAAGGCAATTTTATACTAAAATTGAGAACTATGCAGGTCAAAGCTTTCTAATATATCTAAGTTTGTGAAGTAACAGTGTAAGTGTTTTACAGGTTAATTCAGTTTGAGCCAGAGAGTTTTTTCAAGTCCAATGTCCCAATCAAAGCAGACTCAGCAATGAGGTTAGAGCCCAGTGCTTTGGGCTTTATGCAACGTGATGCTGAAAACCCTTGAGGATGAAGGCTGTGCACCCCTCTGGGCAATCTGATCTATGGCCCACTGTTCTCAGAACAGCCTTGCTCTATATCCAGTTGGAACAAACTGGTTAAACAAAATATGTTTAAATTGCAGGTGCATTCTGAAATGAAAGAAAATGAAGTGCCTCAGGGTGAGCACAAAAAGGGAGAGAAGATATCACAAAACAAAATTGAGAGAGCTACTGAGAATCCAAGGATGGGTGCTGGCCAAAAGAAACAAGCAGAGAAGACTTCTACTAGAGGCAGGGGAGAGCAACGTAAGTACAAAACTGGATAAAAGTAACTTTAATTTGTGCTACTTACAATAAAATTATCTTTTGGTTATTCTGTCTTTGTACCATTTTTGTGGCACATCTGTTCATCAGTACCTTGTTTTGTGCATACTGGAAGAAAATTGGTCTGGTTTGAGTTTGTGTTACTTGTTTAACATTGTAACACAAATCCACAAATTCTGCAGTGTAGGAATTTTGCTGGCTTTGACTTCAGAGCTTTTGCTTTTAGTGAAGGAGTTTTCAGAGAGCTGAGTTTTACACTTTCAAAAGGATCAGTGCCTTTTGGAATACCCTTGAGGTGTTGTTTGGCCTCTAGGAGGTGGCAAGAAATGGAGGACCTGCTTCGTTATGGTTCATTTGGCTTTTTCCAAAGGTGAACAATTTCATCGCTTGCTTTCCAGGAGTAAAATTAGCATAAAATATTGAATCCTTTACCATTTGTTTGAACTACCTAAGAGTATCTGAATGTGTTCCACTGGATCACTTTTTCATCTGGTAGTGTTTTTAGTCCTTCAAACATAATGCCACTGAAAATAGGAATTAATTTATCCCCCACTGCTTTGTGTATGCAGCTGATAAGAAGAATTTGTCTACCTAATCTGATAATTTCTTGATATTGAAGAGTCTGTCAAGTAAGATACACTTCTGCATTTGCTCTGTTAGGCTCAGTGTATGTAGTCTGTAAGTTTATTATGGATATTCTTGTTGTTCCATAGAATTTACAAGGACAATCTTATGGGAGACTACAAATAATTTTGAACTAACTCAAAAATGTGGGTTTTTCAATGAAGGTTGTTTTTAAAAACAAGAGCAATAGGATATGTGGGGGATGCTTGGGGGCATCACTCATCCTGACAGTTGGTACAGTGCTCATCTCTTCCTAAAGCTGTAGTAACAAGTCTGCAGTTAATATCAACAAATTGATTTTTTTAACTGTACACCATTATTTGTTTCCAATAAGGATTGCTTTCAATATATTGTGGTCATCTAAGTTTACTTTTGAGGGGATGTGAATGACCAGAAATGCAAATGTTTGCTGTTGATATGCAAATGCTGAACTTGATGTAAGGTTGTTACCTGATTTTTTTTTCTTAAGAAAATTAATCATTAAAATGTGAACATGAGAGTATTACTACACCTGAGAACAGAGATGATAAAAATAACTTGGACTCTGTATGTAGCTAAGGCAGTGGCAGAAAACTTGGTCAAAAGGTATTTTTTCTTTAGTGTCAACATTTAAAAACACAGATGAAGGCCTGTGAATTTAAAGTTTTTGTTTACCACAAGCACAGTTCTCTTGAAAACTTTCCCTGAAAAATATTCTACTATCATAATATACTAACCAAATATGACTTTAGGATTCATGCTGGGCTTGTTTGATATTTATAATATATCTTGGTTTGTCAAGATATATTATTAATGACAAACCAATTAAAGCACTTTTGAGAGTCTTAGAACATACCTATTCCAGCTGGTTTTATTTCTCAAAGCCTAAACCCACTTTGAGGAGATAAAGTGTGTTTTAAAACAAACACTAGACCAATATTTGAAATTACTTTAAACCATCCAGGAGTTGTACTGGTTTTGTCTAATGTTGCTGTACCAGGTAATGCCCGTCCTGCAGGAGGGAAGATCCCTGTGCCTGTGGGCCGTGCATCGAGGTCTGCGGGAGTGACAGCTACCACACCAAGTAAGACAGCCTGCCATCTTCAGCAAGAGATGTCTTTTCTCTGTATAAAGGGAGACTTGACTTAGTTTTTTACAACTCAGGTTTCTATTCCTGCTCAAATAAAAGAATATACTTTCTTTAAAAAGCAAGCAAAAAAAAATTCCCAAATGTTAAATTTCAAGGTACATATTTCAGCTTGTAAATTCATAGTAGTAAATGACTGGCATGTATGTAAAAAAAAACCTGGTTTATTGAACATTTTGGTGACTTCTTCATACAATACTTGTATTAATAATTTTCAAAGAACAGGAACACATACATGCTACTATTACTGCTTGTTTAGTTTTCACTTTATAAATCCTATGGTTGTGCTGTACTACTATACATTAATTCATGTTCATTGCTTCTTAGAGTGTGTTAAATCATCTCAAATGTAGAAGTATTTGTTGTTTTCTTTAACTGCAGAATTTGGGGGTTGGGTTGGATGATCTTTAAAGGTCCCTTCCAACCCAGACCATGATTCTATCATCCTCCAGATTACCAGGTAGTGGGCCATGTGAATAGATTCTATTGGTCCTGTTTGGTGAGCTGTGTCTACAGCCTTTAATTAGAGGGGCACGTTGACTTCTTTGAGGCCATGACCATGGGTGTCACAAAATTATCCTATTGTATACTAAACTCCCTTAGAACCATACTGTATCTGTGAATGTTCTTATTTTTGAACTTCTTAGACTTTAAAAAGTTGCATGAGGCTCAATTCAAGAAAATGGAATCTATTGCTGACTACATGGAGAGGAAAAAAAAACTGAATGAAAGTTGCAGTGCAGTCAAGGTAAGAGATAACATAGGAAGATGCCCATTGTTGGCATATTCAGTTATTTCCAGGGCTTTTCTGTAAAAGTCCTACCAGATTTCTTTAGATCACTAAGTAACTGGTCATGTGAACATGCAGTGGAATATTATAACCAATATATATAGTTATTTGTATATAACTTATGTAACAATATAAAATTTTACGTGTTAACAGTGTACAGCTGTAGAAACCAACAACTAACTTGTTGTTTTTTGAGTAAAAATCATTGTCACAATTACTTTTGTGAAAGATCTCCTGGATCTTTTGTTTACAACTGTCTGAAAAAAATCAAGATTACAAACCTTGCTGCAAAATCTATCCAAGGGGATAGGTTATTTTTCAAAGAGCAGGAATTAAATATTTTCTCTTTTGTACCTGAACTATCATCCCATGGCTGCATATGATTCTCCTTAAAAATACATTCAATATGTGTTGTTCTCAGTTCTTGTATTTCATCCTCACATGGGTGAAAGCTGCTAACAGGGCCTCTCACAAAGTGCAGTAGAACCTAAAAAAGTGACAGTAATGTATCCATGAATATGTGAGTGAATATGGCAATGGCCATAGAATTGTTCAGGTTGGTTACTCTAGCACTGTCCATATCAAACAGTAATAATGAATGAAACTCCTGAACACTACATTTATTTTTTAATGGCATATATTGCATCAATGTATGCTTCAGACAAATTACTATTGCCAGGTGCTGACCAGAAAATCAAATATCTTAAGAGCATCAGAAAAAGACACTCTGTATTCTAAGATATGTGTTGTCAGGTCAATTTAATAATAAAAATACTTACGTTTAAAATATGCTTTTAAAGAGAGAAAAAAAGGGAGAAAACTGAAGAGGCCATATGCTTTAGGTTCACTGTGTGTTTTCCCTTCCTCTTGGCTGCTTTGTAATTAATTGTCAGCAGAGTCTGCTAACTCAGAATTTGCTTTTCCCTAGAAACAAGCCAGTGGCAAAAGATTTTTATTCAGCCCAAATCCAGAAAGAGGCAGGTTCTCCACCACCAGCACTCCTTGTAACCTGCGGCGCTCACCACGCAATTCTCTGAACGCTGCTAATCGGAACATTTTATCCCAGAAGTCTTCATTTCATCCTTCCATACTTTCAACATCCAAAATGAATGTCAGGTAAAAAGAACAAACCAAAGCTACCAGCAAGCCATTTGGTGTGATACACATGAAATAATCAACACTGACTGTGATTTTACTACATTATTTCTCTTCCAAACATGAACTATGCAAGACTAATTCTGATTACTAACTTTCAGCCTGGCTTTGTGGGTGGTTTAAGCCTCACTGTGCTGTTACTGTCTTCATTCTTCATTTTTATGTCTGTTAGAAGAATCTCAAATCCTGGCGTTCATTTTTCTAAAGCCAAGTGATGCAAAATTAAGCAAATTATGTTTCTTCTACTACTGTGTTAGGTTTTCTATTTTGCCAGGCAGCCTAATAGTTTCTGTTTATCCTAATTAATTTTGCTGTAAATTTTTAGAATTGGAACTCTCTTCAGTATTCCAGGTGAGTCTTGCAATGGTTTTTAGGTACTTTCTTCCTTTTGTCCTCCAGTTCCCCTCTCCTTCAATGGCACAGTGTCACAACAGGGGTCCTCTTGTGATTGACTACTATAAGCAGACCATTGCTAGCAGATGGGAACTGACACCAGAAGTCGTGAGGAATTGCTGAATGGATGAACTCTTACTCACTGCTATTATACCTCGTCTCATTTCCTTTTAGAACATGATGTGTATGTCATCATTCCTCCACAGTAACCTACTTCTCTTAGTGTTAATACTTAATGAACTGCTGTTATCAGTATGTTTTATTTGCTTCTTAATATTTTTTCTAAAGTCTTGATCAAGAAACATTTTAAAAGAAGGAATTGAAAGGACGGTCCTTGCAGTATCCTGTTGATAAGTGTTCTTTTTGCTTGGATTTCTAATGAAAGCCTTTATTTCTACTATTTCTTTGTTGATTTCTAACTATTCTACTAATCTTGACTCTAATCAGTTTCCTAAGCCTTCCACAGTGGCTGAAGTTCTGATTAGATCTTCTCCCTTTGCTAACAATACACGGTTGTTCACAGGCCTCGGCTGTGTTACTTTCTCTGATGACCTTCACTTTTCCACTTCTGCATGCCAAGATCATGGCTGCTGGGGCTTTTTTTTGTCCCTGACTAAAGTGTATGTGGGATTGTTGTTTTTAAATTAGGTAATGCAACTTCTCATATTGCTGTGTGATAATATATAATTATGTGACTTTGGAATGCAGGTCTTCTGCTGTTCAAAGGTCAAAATCAAGATTACAAACTTAATGGCTTTGTTTTTATTTTAAATGTCTTTTTGATTTCAATAGATAGCAAATGTAAAAAACACTCTGCCTCTAGCGTCCTCTTGGATGAGCTTGGATGTCTTCACTGTAGCCCTAATTGATTCCTAGCAATATGTGAATCAAAACATATCATTCAGAATTTGCTTCCAAAATTTCATTCATCCAAAGTTGCACTGTGGTGGACTTGGCAAGCTGTACTTCATCATAAACTCGCTCGCACAAAAAACCAGCTTTCTTCAACACTTACTCCTTGTCTTTTTAAGTCTTGCAAGCTCATGGCTTAGTCTCATGTGTTTTTGCAAGATTTTGAATTTTATGCATGTACACGTATATGAGTAATCATAGGTGTTCATTAAGAATGTCTATATACACATTTGGAATATATATGGAATGTGTGTGTCTTGGTATGCAGGTAACTTATGTATTTCAAAATCTTCAGCTTCTTCTTCTTGTAGGTCTTTGAGAATGTCTATATACACATTTGGAATATATATGGAATGTGTGTGTCTTGTGTTTCAAAATGTGTTTCAAAATCTTCAGCTTCTTCCTCTTGTAGGTCTTTGGGGTCCAGCGTTCTGTTAGTTGTCTTTCAGTTTTTCTTAATTTGAATTTTAAAACTAACAAAATATGCAATGCTTTACTACAGAATCCAGGTCTAAAGTAAATCATATCTGTTGGTGAATAAATCTACTAGCTTATTGCACCTAAGTATATTTGCTTTTCAAAATAACAAGAAAGTCAGTTCTTTGTAGTTTCTAATAGTACTTACTGCTATTGACACTGGCTCCAAACTTAGTGTTACTGCTAGCAAGGTATTTTAGTAAAGTTTTTGTACGAGAGCTGTGAACTGCCGGGGTCAGCTGTCAATTGTCTCTGCCCCAGCACGGAAAAGGTGGTTCTGGGCAGGCCGCGCTCTCGCAGAAGGAGTCTGGACTCTTCCTTTCGGTCTGTCTGCCCCAGCACGGAAAAGGTGGTTCTGGGCAGGCCGCGCTTTCGAAGGAGTCTGGACTCTTAGTTTTGGTCTTCAGTTGAGTTTATTGTTCCTTATCTACAAAGTTTTTCTGTCTGTCCAGCCAAGGTCTGATCAGCAAGACAGCCAAGGGCACTCTCTCCTGCCCACGGGCCGGTTGTCTCTCTTATAGTGAAAATTATGTATAAGATATTTACCTTCAATTTCCAATACTTTTCACCCTTGTTGGCAAGTGCACTTTCACTATGAACCAATCCACACATGCCAACATCATCCTGAACATGGATGCCAAGGAGAAGAAAGAAGAAGGACAGGGCACGCCCAAATCCCTCCATCTTAGAACCCCTGACCCCCATATACAGAATTTCAAACTCCCCTGTACAACATACAAAACCCCCTGTACAGTGCTCTAAAATGTTTTCCTTCACCCTGTGATTCCTACTACTGTGCTACTTAAACTTTTGTGGCCCATAATTCTTTATATAAGGTTGGCAATTTGCTCCATGAATTAAGATTGAATTTCCAGGTGTCTTTGGCTTCCTGCCAGGGTCTCAGAGGCCCTGCCAGGGCTTTGAGACATCCAGGGCATCCAGAGAGATGTCCTGGGTTCTGACATGAACATCTTTCACCCAGTAAATCTTTCTATCTGTAATAAATAAATTAATAATAAATAATATAGAAGGCAGAACCATCTATATTCTGGCACATTGCTTACATTCCTTCTAGGTGAACTTGTCTTCATATTTCTAAAATCTTTCAGGTTCTCAGAAGCCACAAAAGATAATGAGCACAAACGCTCTCTTACCAAGACTCCATCTAGAATGTCTCCATACATGGAGGAGATCTGCACACCTGACACTCCAAAGAGCTGTAAACTAAGAAGTCAGAAGAACAGTAAGGGGAATGCAAGAAATAATGATCTGACTGCAGCAAAGGGTAAGGTGGATGTGAATATTTGGCTCTTTCAGATCAAGACTTTTATCTTAATGAATTACTGTACAAGTTTTTAACTACCAAAAGTCACGTAGACCCAGGTTTTAATTTAATTCTCTAATTTATGACTGGTTCTTCAGAAACTGCAGTCATTTCTTTGTTTCTTTTGTTTTCCAGTGGTTTGACTAAAATGTTTAGGTGCCACAACTTAAACATATGGCCCCTAGCTACCTACAGAAAAGAGGACAGAAAGTGTTCTAGACCTTTAGGGACTACATAGTAAAAGATTGATACAGCAGACACAGGGACACCCCATTTGCACAGAAAGAAATTCCTGACACCTTCTCAGAGTTCTCATTCTCCTTGTGGGGTTAGCATGCATCAGGCTTCTAGCCGTGCTTCAGGACAAGCTGTTATCAGCCTGAGCACCCAGATAACTCAGGAACTAAAATTAAGAAAAATCAGAAGTCTTCTGATTACTAACAATCTCTGCAGCAGCACAGCTGTGCTATCCAGCCATTGACACCCTTCACATCACAGGGATATTTGCACAGGTCAAGAACCCACAGCGTCCTGGTTTGCTGTAAAAAACTGATGTTTTCAAGGTGCAAGAAGAGTTCCACACTGATCTGAAGCTGACCTGTTCCAAAAGAATTATTCTTTAACATGAAAAACCACTCGGTTACAAATAGGCATAGAAGAAACACAATTTCCTTTGAAAGACTAGAAAAACACATGGAGCTTTATGTGTTCTTCCACAGTATAATCATAGCTAAAGGGCCGCTTCTCTGCAACTCTTGCCCCTCCCTATTTCAAATGAGAATTGCATTGTTTGTGCAATTCTATCCTTAGAAGTAGCAGCAGGGGCATTTAATTGCTCTTTGGTCTTGATGCTCTCGCTTTTCTAATTATGGTGTCTCGATGCCTTTTGTAGCTCTTACCCCCTTCAAGTTTGGAGCTCAACCTGCACAACCCACAAGCGGAAAGAAGACATTTGATCTCAAAGCAAGCCTCTCTCGACCACTTCGGTATCAGCCACACAAAGGTACTGTGACTCTGTGCAGCCCGCGTTGGTCACAGCCCTCGCTGTGACTCTGTGCAGCCCGTGTTGGTCACAGCCCTCGCTGTGACTCTGTGCACCCTGTGTTGGTCACAGCCCTCGCTGTGACCCTGTGCAGCCCGCGTTGGTCACAGCCCTCGCTGTGACTCTGTGCACCCTGTGTTGGTCACAGCCCTCGCCGTGACCCTGTGCAGCCTGTGTTGGTCACAGCCCTCGCCGTGACCCTGTGCAGCCTGTGTTGGTCACAGCCCTCGCTGTGACTCTGTGCACCCTGTGTTGGTCACAGCCCTCGCTGTGACCCTGTGCAGCCCGTGTTGGTCACAGCCCTCTGTGACTTTGTGCAACCTGTGTTGGTCACAGCCCTTGCTGTGACCCTGTGCAGCCCTCACACTCAGCTGCTCCTATGGGGCACTTTAATACAAACACTGAGGACAAGTTACAGTCTCTTTTCCTCTCCCCTTTCCTTTCTCTCTGGGTTCCCACATAGTCTGGTGTAAAGTTTCTTCATGATATATGCTTCAAGAGCCTCCCTACTGAAGATTAAGATTTTATGGCCAGAAGCCCATAAATAGAAGAATAAATATCCTTGCATTCCACTGAATGGATGCATGTACAGGAAATACAGACTATTTCTTACACAATGAGGTGGGGTTTTTTAATCTCATGTGAGGAGCTGAACTTTGCATGGTGTGTGCTACTTCTAAGTACAGTCATCTGTTTCTACTTACAGAAGAACAACTTGTAGGGAATGGGCTGGTGAAACTGAAAGTACAGCTTAAAGAGGCATTACATCTTCAAAACAACCAGTAAGAAACAGGCTAGCTGGGATGAATTCATGATAAGAAGTTAAGCACACAATTAGTTACTGAACTATTAAACTAGTCTCTCTTTTTGCTCCTAAATTGTAGGACGACTAAAACCGTGGGGAGAATTTAAAGAAAATGCTGTTCCCAGTAGGTCTGGTGGTATCTGTTCACATAGGAAAGATTACAAACAGCCACATCTCCAGACAAGGTTAGTATCCCACTGATCTTTTTATATATACTGTTACTTAAAATAATATGATGATTCATTCTTCTCCTTAGGATTTAAATGTAGTTTAGGGAAGAATACTTTTGTATTAAAGCCATTTTTCCTTCCAATGACTACTTCATTTCAAGAAGGCCAACAAAAGGCTGCTCTGAATTTACTAAGACTTTTTTTTCATGAACAATATCAGTTCCAGAGTTTAGAGACTTACCTTCATCTTGGAAGAAGCTGTCAGTATTGACATGCTGTTACCTCAGGTGTTAAACCTGCATGTCTCAGCAGATGTATTTGCCTGAATGTTTGGGTTCAGTCCATAATGGTACTCTTATCTCTGCCTATGCCAAAGGCAGCACACTGATTAAACTTGTGTTGGGCTGTGGTCAGCTTCAGATTCCTTTGGTTGCTTGTGCCTCCACCTTTAAAACTTGACATAGTCTCTTTTTTTTCCTCCAGGGAAGAAAGGCGTGAGACACTTGAGCAAGACAGAAAAAAGAAAAAGGCTCATGCTCTTGCCAAACGTAGAGGCCTATCTGGGTGTTAGGACAAACAAGAAAGATCTAAGAGATCACTGTAAATACTGTAAATCTTCTTTCTTCATAATGTTTTCATTTAACTAATTTACTTGACTAAAAGATGTTAAAGAGGAAAATATAAGTGGAAAAAAAAAGCTCAAGAAGCCTCCTTGCAACTTAGGATAGACTTGTGCATCAGAATGGACTTGTCCATTGTGCTAGAATGCAGGCCATGCAGGCTTTAGATAGCAGCAGCTTCAAAATGTTCCAGTGTTCAAAATGACAAGATTTGGAAGTACCTGCTTGCCCTGTTCTCCAGATCAATCCTTAAGTTCTCTAAGTTACAGCAATTACTCAGCATTTCTAATTGAATGCCTATGAAACAGTAGGGAATTTCAAAGTGAAGAAAAAATATGCAAGCTCTCTGGCAAACTAATGCAGAATTGTAAACTACCTTTTTGAAAAAGTCACAACTGAATTGACAAATTACCAGCTGAATGCTTTGAACAATTAAGGTTTTGTTCCTTTCTATAGTAAATAGCAGATGTTAAAATCCTCTTGCTTTTCACCTCTAAGATGCTTAATTGTGTTGAGGTACATTTTAAAAGAATGGTTTTAAAATAAGCTGTTATTTTTACATTAAAAAAATACATAGAAAAGTTGTCTGGATTTTTTAGGGATAGAAGTAGAAAGGTAATTTAGCAGCTGTAATCTCAGCTGTTGAGCAAATAAATGTTTCACTGAATTTATGTCCTATCATATGTTGTGATGTCAAGAAAAACCAAATTTCTAAATAAATGTAACGGGGGAAATAAATATTTTGTATATGTCCTGTTTATCACTGGCTTTATCATTTAGTATACTAACTACAACTGCTTCCTTACTCTGGCACTGTTTTTTCACTCTTGTATTTGCTGCTGTGTTTTCCTGTGCCAAGTTTTCCTCACCAACTCGCCTGCCTCCCACTCCAAGAAAGATGTTTGCTCTGATATCTTCCTGGTATCATCCTTCTTCTACAATTAAGCTGCTGAATTCAGTGCAAAAGGAAGATAACAGTACAAGATCCTGTTTCAGCTTGCTTCATTATGCTCTCTTCCATATAAAATACAGGTACATTTAATATTTCTGTAGTATACTTAAACAAGGTCACTGTGGAGGAGGTCAGTGCTTTCATTATTTAAATTTGACAGCTGAAACATACTCTTGATAAAGCAAGTGCTGAGTAGTTATCCTGAATTACTGAAAACTGCATCTCTCTGCAGAAGGGAGGTATTAAGGTGCTGTGCCACCAGTTGAGGCTGTGAATTCTTACAACACAGCAGAGTTAGGCTAACTGCTCTGCCCTGTAATGGTGCTAAGTAAGCCAAGCTCTGCCTCCTCAGAGAGCAGACAGAACTGCAGCTTTCCTCCCACCCCTCCTTTGGAGCATTGCTTCTTTCCAACAACCTTGGCTCTGCCTCATTGTAGGATCATCATCAACAGCTCTGAAGGAAAAGTCAAGCCTGCTGCATAGCTCTTGTTTCCATCTTGGCAGTGGCAGCTTTTGCTTTTTTTAGCTATCTACAAGAGCCAAAGCTAAAGGTTGAAATACTTCTGCCTTTTCCACTTCTGGTGCTGCTCTTTGCAAATTTCAGTAGCTGAGTCACACTTAAGCACCAGTCCTCAGAGTATTAATTCTCATACCTTTTTCAGTTTAAAACTAGTAGATGCAAGTGTTTTACAACCGTCAACAAATCACAATGTAGAAAATAAAAGTGTTGGACAAGAAAAGAACAACAAACTTGTGAAATACTTTTTTCAGTAAAGGTCAGGACAGAAGCCAAAGAGTTACTACTTTGTAAGAACATCACAACTGCTCTCAGGCTACATTGCAATCCATCCATCTGTGTACAGTCTCTCCATGAGTCTGTATTTGGGAGTTTAAAGATGCCCGTGGTGCCACACTTCATGCACTTATCTTTTTAATGTTTACACAGGCTCTTCAAGCTGTTACAAACCACATGTTAAGAAGTATTTTATAAAAATAAACCAAATATCTGAAGAATGTTCCAAAGGACACCAGCCCAACTTAGACTGGAGTGTTCTTGTCATATGCTTCATAGGCAAACTTTTCTTTATGAGCTCTGTCATTTAGCAGACCAATAAAATCAATCTCCAGCTGGAATGGACCATCTACTTTATCTCCAATGGTGAATCCAAGAGTTCTAACCTAATTAAAAGACACAAAGAGTAGAACAGTATAATATTACAATCAAACTCAGTTGTATCTCCCAAATTATATTTAACACACCAATCACAGCCATCTTCTTTAAAACGGTATTTGTTCAAAATGCAGCAGCATTTTTTAAGGCTTGAACACTCACTATCCCATTTTCAATACAGACGCCAGTGGGAAATGACTCCACATGTGCCTTTCTATCACTGTGTTAATAAACCCTTGATTTAAAATGGCCCGAGCCTAAAGCAAGTTACTTTTATCCTTCATGCTTTCTATACAGCCACTTTCATCACAATTGGGTTTCTAAACACATTTTCATAAAATTACTATTCTTTCATTAATAGGAGAAACAGAGATGTAATTAAGGATGGAAGGAATCATTCTAGATAGTGATACACCATCTACTCTGTGAAAACAACAAACCAGACATTTTAGAACTTAATTTTAAGCTGGCATGAAACTTAATTACTGAGTTTAATAGTAAGACAAGGCTCTTAGCCACTGTTTTCCAATTAGAATAATGTTCTTAAATATAAGAACAAATCTGTGTGGCTCGTGCATGCTTTCTATTAGCCTATGGCTTGCCCAAATGCTCCCTCAGCTCTCACAGGTTACAAAACACCTCCATCATTAACAGCTCAGTCCACTCATCAGTGCAGGCCACCTTATAAACTCAGCTGCCCCAAAGCCCTGCTGAAAGTGCAGATCTGAGCAGTGCCCATGAGTTCAAGCACTGCTGTAAGTTTGGGAAAGTAATGCCTAGGCTGTATCAGATGTATAAATGGGACTGAATGTAAATCTATATTGCAAATATATGCTAAATAAAGAACAAAGCTAGGTAAATGCACTGACACTCCTCTGGATCATTCTAATGCTTTCAATGCTATTCCTGCCCCAGCAGCAAGCTCTACAAGCAGCCCCTCAGCTTTTGAAGTCCAGAGGGTTTTTAAAGCTCTTTTTTCCCAAATCACATTGTTACAGATAATCTACAGGAGTTACCTAAACTCTGCTCTGAAGAATATTCCTTTGCAAGCCCTAGATACATTGACTGTTTCCTGTCTTTTTTATTTCTATTTAACAATTATTTTCTGCTTTTCCAGGTTCCTAGGAAAACATGTATTAGTATCATGAGGGCAATTAATTTAAGAGTTGGACTTGATGGTCCCTGTCGGTCCCTTCCAACTCCAAATATTCTGTATGTGACCAAGATATTTTATTAAGATTTCTTAAACTACCTTCCCACTGCTTCCCTGATTTTTGGGTTTCTTTAAAATATGTTTTTAAAATTGCACTGGAAGTACAGTGTAATTTTTACTGTCAAGTGCTGCATATAAAATAACCATCAACAAAAGTTCAGTGAAGGATACTTAGATCAAGTACTAATTTGTCCCTTTAACTCCTAGTAAATATTAAATTTTTAATATTAATTAATATTATATTTAATTAAATATATTTTTAAATAGCCCATATACAACTTCATGTTCTAATTTACCACACATGAGAATAAGCACCTTACAACATGAAGAGGCCCTTCAATTTCAAATTCACAAACATTAGAGAATTTGTAAGTTATCTATATCAGGCCATCTTGAAGGAAATTCTGATTTTTTTACAGAGCAGTTGTGTGTTCCTTATACTGCCTTTTCAAATGAAATTTCAAATAAAGCCTAGAGAAAACTTGCCTTGTCTAACCAGACAGGATGCTGGTTATCCTGGACTCTTCCTCGACTGGAGAGAAAGAATTTGGAGAATGGAATCTGACATAAACAAAACAAAATCAGACTTTAGTGTCACCAGTGTATAAAACAGAAACTTAGGGAAAAGAAAATAATGTGTTAGTAAATTAACACTGCTGTATCTGGTGCTAGCATTAGTTGGGTACATGAAACTGGCACAAAGAAATGGGTCACATTAACCCTTTCAGCTGGCCACTGGCAGCCAGCTCCAGGCCCGCCCTGCCCTGTGGTGGCTGTAGCCATCCCACAGGAGGATTACCCTGTCAGGACACAATGGACAGCTGCAGCACAGAAGGTGGCTGCTTACAGTGAGAATATCTCCTTCCAGTACCATGGAAATATAAACCAGAAATTACTCTCAAGTCTAGCATGGGTACATACTGACAGCCCATCTGTACCCAGGCTGTGGATTTCACAGTGCAAACTTCATACTCTGACATCAGTATCTCTAGCAAAGCACTTCAGGGTAATGTAAAAATTTCTTTGAAAGTAGTGGGAACAAGAAAGCAGGGCTGGCTGGTGGCTGGTGAGGGTGAGAGGAAAACATCCAAGCCAGCAGTGACACTCCTTCATCCTCCTGGCTCCTCATCTGGAGGGACAGCAGGCTGTTCCCACATGACTGGACAATGGTATTGTGGAGCACTCAGCAACAATTCATAAAGATGTGCAAACCTCCCTATAGCTGTCATCAGAGAATTACAAAAGGTCCTCAAGTTGCACCAGAAAAGAGTCACAACTCACATTTCTCAAAAATATTATTCTGTGTCACAGAGTCAAGGGTCACAAATGACAAATCCCAGCTCTTGAGACTGACTGACTCCAGAGAGGCTCCAAGTTTAGCAAATCCTGTTACATGGAAAAAAATCCCACAACAGTCCACACCCATTTGTATTACAGATAAAATGGTTACCACAGAGAACATTCCAGGCAACGCCTGCTGAGTTTCAATTGCTGTGCCCATCCTATTGCTCCAGTAAGAGCCAACAGCAGGCATTCAGAGAAACACACGGTGGAACAATTCTTTAACACAATTGACACCGTGTGCCCTCCCCTAGTCCAGTTTTGGGAACTCTCAAGCCAAAGGCACATATCTATTGTATAATGAAAATGTTGAGTGGACAGCAATAGAAACTAACTGTGAATGTTGAAAGAATTCCCCTTCCTGTGTTTTGGCCAGGACCTCAAGACAGTCTCATTAGTTTGAAAGATTCATTAGCTCACCTGTATTTCCTCCCAGTATGGGCCTCCTCGGGTAAACATGAAGTAGCTGTAGAGGTCATCCTTTTGATGAGAGAAGTAGGGGTCTGTATAAATGTTTACCATCCAAGGTCTGCCATCACCACGGACACGTAAATACAGACTGTTGAAGTTTGACCAGTCATAATACTTCTTCCTGTTAAAAGATCCCTACAAATTATTGATAAATAGAATTACTCCTCCTTAATAGAAGGACACTTTCATTATGAGGTACAGAACATTGTTGCTTTGATCATGCCCTTGTTATTATGTCAGATAGTATTTACTGTAACACAGTGAACACAGCTACTCTGTTATCACCCTGGCAGCTGAGCTCACTGCATTTCCTTCAGCACTATACTAGAGACACAAATTGCAATATTGCTGCCTGAGGACTCACACTTTCATTATAAACCACAATCTTGTAACTATCAGAAATCAGACCTCCTTGTAATTCCCTATCAGGCAATTACACAAATGCTGCAGTGATAGATCAGCACTTATGTAGTTCACTAAGTTTAATATTCTGTGGTCAGTTCTAGATCATTCAAAAGTGATGGCAGGAAATTGAAGCAGTGAAATAACTTATCCCCTTTGATAACTTTCCAATGGAAGATTAATGAACACTGGGAGCATTTAATGCGTTCCAATTTTTTTCATTAACTGTGTAAAATAATAAGATTGCAAGCATGTCTAATTCTTCATTGCATTTTTTCCAAAGATCTGAAAAATCCTGAGATGTTGCCATTTGCATGATGACATATCCAAGGGTCCTTCAGTCCTTCTGCACTGAAGTCACTTGGAGCAACGAGGGACAGAGGGCAAAGTTATTCTTGGCTAGACTTGCCAAGAAGTCAAAATTAGCACCAAAAATTCAGACGCTTCCCCTTTATTTTACAGCATTACTATGATTACCTATCAGCTATTGTTCTACCAACTCATCCTGTAGGTAACAGAATAAGTACATTATGAATATATAAATATAAGGCCTGTAGCTACTGCATTTTATGGTTTCAACAGTTTTGAGCCTTTCTACTTAAATAAAGATTGACTCATACACTCCACTGCTTCAGAAATAGGAGGTGAAAGTTTGGGTCACATCTGCATAAGTCAGTAGCAGTCCTGAGAGTTTAATTCAGACAGACTCCACTTGTTCCAGTCATCTGATCTAATGTCACCATTTTAATCAGTCTTCATATGCCTCTCACTTACCCATTGATTTTGCTTACTCATATTCCCTACTCCCCAAGATTTTGGCCCAGAAATTATTCTACCTAAGCACTTGTGCCAAGATACAAACAACAGAACACATTAAATATTCAAGGATTTTATCCAGTGCATGAAAATGGTCCTTTATTTTTAAAGGTGCTTAGAAATAAGGGATGAAACAAGCAGTATCCAAAATAAGCACACCCATTTCTGATTCTATTTTGCTCAATTCTGAGCTATCAAAGATTTGTGTCTTGCTTTTTTTCTGATGTACAGTAGGAGGCAGACCTTTAAAAAGTACATTTCAAAGCCTTGTTTTCTGCTCCTGTGAGAAAATGATTCATTCATCGTAACCAAGTCTGATGAATAGACCAAGTTAAAGCCCAGAAAATTCTTACTTACAGATGCTGCAAACAGGTCTGTCTATTGTATTTGATCATAAGTAAATGATCAAATATGTATTATTCCTTTTCTAAGAAAGGAAAACGATATCCAAGAAAAAAATTTAAGTTCCTTCCAAGTCAAAGCAGGCACAGCAGTAATTACATGTCTGAGAGAAACCTGAAAGTGATCAGCAGTAAAGAGCAGGCCACTTGCTGTCACTGGGATTCCACAAACACCTCAGATTCATATCAGAAGCTGTGCAAACACGGAGCTGTACTTACCACTAGTGGTCTGGATCTCATACTGCAATATCCACTGTATTTTGTCTCCCCATCACGAGGCACTTCTGTATTGAGGGTTCCATACAGCAGAGCAGCCTGGTTATTCCTACCCAATTTGATGTAAACTTGACTTTTCCCTCCAATCTCCATATCAGAGGAAATAACCCATTTATTTAAATCTTCTTGGCTCCTAAACTGCCACAACACCCTTGTTTGTTCCAGCAAGTGCTGACTCAATGGATGGCCTCGAGGTCCTTTTAAGTAATCTTGGGTTTCCTTCTTCAGCAAGCTTAGCTGAGTCTTCAGGTGATCAATGGTCTTCTTAAAGCTGAAATCAACATTCTGCCAAGACAGTTTTTTCTCAGGCTCTGCCCCGGGCCTCCTGTAGCTGCTGTACAATTTTGAATTGCTGAGGAGAGGTCCAAGTGAGGAGAGCAAAACTTTGTGCCTGCAGCATCCAGCGGGGAAGGAAGCACCGTTCAGCAGCACAGCCAGAGCCATACTGGTCACTTGAATTCACGGCCAGTACGGCAATCAATGGATTGAAAGGTAATTTAACAACTAAACTAGTATTTACAGCTATATTATTGTAGTTACTGTAGTTGATCTTCACCTTTAATGAAAAAGAGAAAAGGTTATAAAAAACTGCATATAGGATGCTTGTGAAATTATTTAACTTTTATAATCAATACTAGCTAGAAATCCAAGTCATTGGAAAACAGAATGAAAAAACCCATCAGGAATGACACCTCCTCAGAGCTTGAGTTTACTTATTGACTTCCACCCTATGCTTTCCCTTCTGCCCATGGTGTAAAATCCCCATGCAAATAAGAAAACCCAAGTAAACTACTTCAAATAAAACTGAAAATAGAAAAGAAAATCAATTTATCTTCATGCCTTCCACCAATAAGTTCAGTGTTATGGATAACACCAGCAAAAACAACCCATGAAGGTTTCTAAAAGATGGCACCTATATAACTAAAAAGTTTTATTCCTGCATGAAAATCACAAATTCACAACAGGTAGGTGCTGCTGCCACACAGACAAACATAACAACCTCATCCAACACAGATGACAAGACTTTTCAAATACTAAGTCCTGCAAGAGTCATACCACAACCTTCTTCCAAGTCGCCCTCAATATACCTGTGTTAGGATTAGAGAGACGTTTGCAAAGACTGAAAAGTTTAACATGAAAGACTACAATTCAATGTGGGTTTTTTTTAAAACAAGGCTTCAGGAAAACTCTCCTCAATGCTCTGTACAATGTTATTTTCTCTTACTTGTAAAATTATACAGGTGGGGTTTTTTTGTTGTTTGGTTGTTTTTTTGGTTTGGTGTTTTTGGTGGTTTTTATTTGTTTGTTTTTTGTGGAATTTTTTTTTGGTTTTGTTTTTTTCATGCCGCAGAACAAAACCAAAACTGATGTCACAGGCATTCAACTTCTGTGAGCTTTTAGGAATGGAGTCAAGCACCCCACTCACACCCTCTACATGTCACTCACCTTCCTTTACTCACTGTAAAATTTACTGCCGTTATTCTCACACTCTAACTAAGTTATGCCTAAAGCTACACTGAAGTAGCTTTTAGAATTCACATTTCAGTAGCTTAGGATTCACATTATGCTCTATCGTGCACTTCACACGACGGGAGGCAAGTTCGCGATCCAGAAACCCTGTCTCCTCATTGCTGCACCCGAGTGCAAGAAGAGAACGGAGAATTCCCGTACATTCTGCTTTAGCCCGGTTGTATCCCTCGGCGAGCCTTTAGCAGCCCGGTGCCCGGCCCGGCAGCTGCGACGCCTCGGCTTCCGCCGCGGCCCCGCTCACGCCGCACCGGCCGCGGCCTGGGCGCCGGCCCGGATCCCGCCCGCTCGGCTGAGCCCGGCGGGCAGAGGCGAGGCCGGCACGGGGGGCGGCGGCCGAACCCCGTCCCTGCAGAGCGGCCGCCTCGCCGCTCCCGCTCCGTGAGCGCCAGGCCCCGCACGCACACCGCCTCACCTTCCCGCCGCGGGTCCGCCGCGCCGGGGCCGCCCAAGGAACGAGCGCCGCGCCGCTCCGGTTGCGCCGCCAGCGACGGCGGCCAGGGACGTCCCGCACGCAGCGGCAGCAGCGGCGGCCGAGGCGCGGCCCGCGACCTCCGCGACCTCCACGACCTCCGCGATCTCCGCGGCTCTGCGGGCGGCGGGGGAACGGCCGCGGGGACAGCGCGCGGCTCCGTGAGGGGACAGCGGCAGCGGCGGCTCCGCCCTCGCCCCGCCCCACGCGCCGCGCATGCGCGGTGCCCTTTGTGTCGGGCGGGCAGGCCGGGCCGGGCCGTGCGAGCGCCGCCGCCGCCGCCGCCGCCGGGGCGGGGAGGGGGCACCGCCGGCTCCGCCATGGTGAAGAAGCGGAAAGGCCGTGTCCTTATCGACTCCGACACCGAGGACAGCGGCAGCGAGGAGAACCTGGACCAGGTGCGCGGGCAGGCCCGGCCCGAACGCGGGGCCTGGGATCGCCGGCCCGCGCGAGGCTCGGCGCCGCCATCCCTCCCTCGCTCCCGCCCGCTGGTCCCGCGCCGCTCTCGCCCTCCTCGGCCCGATGGGGCCCCGCGGCCGCCGTGGGGAGAGCCCGCGTCCCCGCGGCGGGTCCCGGCCCGCCCCTGGCAGGAGGCCCGCCTTGGCGGGGGCTCTTTGCAGCGGGCCCCGTGCTCGGCGCCGGCGGGACGGAGGGGCGGTGGATGCTCCGGGGCGATGCTCCGGGCGGTCTGGCCCTGAGGAGGGGTTAGCGGGGCCCGGCTGCCAGCGGTCTCCTCACCTCGAGTAGTGGGGAAAGAGGCCCAAAGGGCTGGGCAACTTTTCCACGCTACTTTGGTACGCCGGGAGAGCAGCGTGTTAGGTCCCTGCCTCTCCCCGGGGCGGGCAGGCTCCCGGAGTGTTAATGCGTGTGTGTTTAATGCGACCCTCTCAATCTTGGTGACTGTGCTGGGGAGCTCTGTTGGTGGGAAACCAGCCTGTAGATGTAAGAAGGGCTGGTGTTTATTTATTTGTCATCAGAGCATGTCCCGGGGTTGTAAGTGCGATGTCTGCTGTGAGTTCAAGCGTGTCAGGGTTGCAAAAGGGATGTCTCCCCCTGTGGAGCAGGCTGCTTTCAAAGATTCACCTTTTGGTGCAGCAGGTATTGATGGTGTGATTCCAGTGGTAAATAAAGACATTATAGGTGAAGTCCGTTGCAGCTTGTAGGGCAGTGCTTGCTCCGGGGAGAAGTTTGGTGGGTTGAATATGCTCAAGCCGACATGTCTGATGTAATTTATCAGTTGGACTTTCAGAGTTTTTAATGTAGAAGCTGTTGCTATGTTGCAATAAAAAGCCTTCCCAAACACACAAAAATACCTTTGCAGATTGGGGCTTCAGAAAGATCAGATCCCCTGTTAAAGCAAATACACTGGAGCTGATGTGGTTGATCTTGCATAGCTCTAGAGTCCTTAGCACTGCCAACATCTTGCTGCTAGTGTATGAGTTTGAGAGTTTAGAACTTGAAAATGGGAGCTGGACTAGCTCTAGCATAGTCAGACAATCGGAGCGATGTTGGCAGGAGTAACCACGTGCTTCTGCATCTGTTCCATCCCTCACTGGCAGCAGGCATCTGCAGCTCTACCTGAGCAGTAGGTGCTTCCCCCTCCACTGAGCTGTTGTAGTAACTGTGACAGCGGGGACGTGTGTGTGCAAAGATGATGATCAGGTGGCAGGGAAGCCATGTTTTTGAGATGAGAGAATACTCACTTAAATGTTAAATACCGATTAAATGTTTGACAGCTTCTTGTGGCAATCTGGGCTTGTCGAATCAAATGGCTAGCAGCCTTTTAAATATAGTGTCTTGGAAAATAGAGAACGAGTGTAGAAAGAAAAAAAAAAGAATATGGCTTTAATGTGGTGCTTCTCTTCAACAGTTTCCCAAAAAGAAGCACTACTGAAGCTTCTTCAGGAGCTTCCAGAGATCTTCTGGTTGTACAAATGTGCTATGTTGATGTTGCAGGGCTTCTTTAGAGAACGTTTGGTAAAATACCAATACTAATGAACTAGTGAAAAGTTTCTTTATTGGTTAGTAGGCAGACCATCAGTTTCTGCAGTGTTTATGTTCTCATTTGAGGTAGTAAATTGGAATCAATTTGTTGAGATAATCTTCCAGTTATGAAACTAATGGAAACCAATCCAGCATCAACTTCCCAAGACTGCAGAAGTTGGTGTGGCTGTATTTCTACACACAGCTAAGACTAATTAGCCCCAGAGTGATGTTTCTGAGAATAGATTCTGTGTCCCGGACTGCAAAGACAGTAACACAGCTTCAAGAATGTTTGGTTTGTGCTACTGCTTGTGTCACCTGAAAAGTGATGAACAGCAGAGGATGAGAGTATTTGAGAGCCATGTAGTTCTTTGTGTGGGTGTGTGTTGCCTGTGAAAGTGTTTCCTTTTGAGCAGAGCAGCTCTACTAAGTTTCACAGACTTTGAGCTTGATACCTGCTCTGTGCCTCTCCTAAGCTTTAAGTGCATTCTGGGGCATGTACCAGCAGTGAAAAGGAATTTAACTAAATATTACCAACCATGATGTAAAAGGGATGCCTAAAGCATTTCCCCTTTAAGTTGTATAATTGCAAACATATCTGTTGTTATAGGAGAAGAAGCTGCTATCTAGTGGTATTTGGCTTTTTAGGGCTGATGCTTCATGGTGTAGTTAGGGTGGTTTTGAATTATTACCCAATCCAAATAAGACAAATCTGGACATGACTCGACTATGAAAGTAATTTGTCTTAAGTTGTTTATGCCAAGAAAGTAATGGTACTAATAGTTACCTTTTATAATTTGTTATCCTTAAAATCCTTTTGTAGCATCCAGTATTAAAATTGTGTGTGCACATGTATATTTATGAAACATAAGTAGACTTGTTCCTAGTAGGTGGCAATAATCGTGCTACTGAGATGTGCTCAGCTATTGCAGAGAGCCTGTGTGTGCACTGACCTGGATTGTTAAAACTAATTACGACACTTTGAAATAATTGTGTGTGTTTTACACCAGGAGCTCCTGTCATTGGCCAAACGGAAGCGCAGCGACTCTGAAGAAAAGGAGCCACCTGTGAGCAAACCTACAGCATCTTCAGACTCTGAGACATCAGACAGTGACGATGAGGTGACTTTATCATGTTATCAGTGACATTGCTGTGGGTTGCCTGATCATACCTAAGCAGTGAAAGTGTATTTATCACACAGTATATTTAGCCTGCTGACTTCATAAGATGGGACTGGCTATCAGTGATGGAGACTGATGGAGACCCATTAAGGCCAGAGAATTTTTTTTTTTTAATGAATACGTTTGAATTCTAATTGTATACAAAATAGTCTGTATATAGAAAAGATGACTGCCAGTTTAATCCCATGTTCATATGGTGTGGTGAGCTGTCTGCTTTAAACTAGTGTTTGTCCTGTGTCGTGCTTACTGCTGAAGTAGCAGTGAAGCTGCTAAAGCTGGACTGTGAATTCAGGGAGCAAGATTTTCACCTTTTGAGTGGAGCTTTCTTCCTAAGAGAAGGATCAAGGCAGATAGTACTATTTTACAGGTAGTAAAATTGTTCTACTTAGCTACTTTTATTCTCCAAGAACTGTGCTGTGAATTAGCTGTCTAGCCATTTGGATATGCAACAGGGTGTGTTTTGATTTACATCTTTGAAGAAAGAGGCAAGAAAGAGTTTAGCAAGACTTTGTTCTAAGGTTTCTCCATTTCTTGTATAACAGTGCTTATCTGCTGGTTCTGTTTTTAGTATCTGTTCTTGGTACTACAGTCTAGAGCTGGTTAAAAGCCTGTGCATCTAGAAGAGAAAATGAAAAAACCTATTAAAACAGGCACTGACAAATGTTATACAGGTATTTGAGTAAAAGCAATTTCTGGAAAGCTTACAAATATTTTTGCACACTTTCTGCAAATTGCAGTGAGGTCATTTATTCCACCTATTCTTAAATATTTGACAGGGAGGCGTTTGGTGTGGGTTTTTGTATTTTTTTTTCTTCTAAAGTAACAGTACAGATTATCCATTGTGGCAACTTGCAGACTAACAGGGTAGGCCAGTGATAAACTATAAAGCATTTGCTAGTGTAGCAGAGTTCTTGCAATAAGTGTGAAGAATATGCAGTTTAATTTTCTTTCTGAGGCATTTTTAAAATAAATATGCTCGGAACTCTGTTCCAAATCAATCATTTTCTTAAAAAGCCTGCTTCTTGTATGTCTAATATACATTTGAGGCATAGAGACGGACAAAATTGTGAACAACCTAGATATAATAGGTTTCTTATTGGGGAACTACTTAGTCTGTCACGGTGTGTGTTCAGATCTGCTGGCTCACAGTTTATTTATTCTAAGTTATGTGGAGACGAGCTTGTCTGGAAAAAGTAGACTTGGGTGTGGAGAGCATGTGGATGATAAAGCTTTCCATTCTGTGTTTATCTCTGAAAGCTGTCAGAATTTTAACTTGTCTAATAAGTAAGCTCTACCTTTTTATTACGTGCAGAATGTGACAGTACCTTTTCACAAATTTGCACGGACCTTTGCGATCAGCAGTGCTACTGTTGCACCTAGCGTGTTTGATACTCTTTCTAATCTGTGTCTCCTTTCAAATTGATACTATGTTCTTTCTGACCTCCATGCAGCAAGAGGAAAAAGATTTAGAGAAGAGGTAATTAGGACACTTGCTTCTATTCCTGTGCCTGAAATATGCATTCTGAACTGCTGCTTGTCACAGCAGGATGAGCGGCTGGCTTACAACAGTTCTGCTTCTGCCAGTCATTCCGTTCTGTGTGTCCCTGGGCTTGACTACACTAGTCCTGCTGAATAACTCAGGGTTTAATAAGTATTCTTGTGGTTGGTTTGAAGTTTGTTCAGCCTTGGGAATTAGAATGGGGGGAGGGGGTCTAAAAGTTGAATTTGTATTATTGGACTTCCTGCAAGGTGGAGAC